TAAGATGATAGATTTCATATACCCGAAATATTTAAGGCATACTAATGTTTTTAAATTAACTTAGTCAAATGTATAGTTTAGACGTAACGCAAAAGTGTGAAGCCAATAAATGAGATTGGTTAGTGGAAAAAAGTAGTAAATTTTAATTTTGAGAAAGATCTTTTATATAATACCTTCTAATGTATGAGTTTAAGAAAGTCTAGGGAAGAAATTCCAATTTGGTGGCGTTCTGATTCGTCATCAAAAGGGAACAATTCCGAAAAGAATAAAAAAAACTACCCTGAACTTATTAATGATAAATCAGATAACTCCTATCATGCCAAAACTTTAAAAAAGTGGTTCCCTGAAACTGAAGTTAAAACATACCATAATAATCCCAAGAAAGGTAAAAATGAACGCAACTCCAAGAAAAAGTCTAATAACATGGAGAAATTAAGTAAAGGATTAGAGGAAACCTGCTCCAGCAAAAATTCATCAACAAATAAACCAGTATCATCAGTTTGTTCTTCTAGACTATCCTTTGTGGTTCCAGATAACTATAATCACTCTAAAAATCATGAGACAGAATCAGTTTGTACTTCTTTAAACAATTCTTCATCATCCTTATCATCGCTCTCATACAGTTCAGATTCATCCTCTTCAATAGAATACTCAAATTTTTCATCGCTTCCATCTTCCTTATTTTCCCCGGCTACAATCTCATGTAGCAATCCTTATTCATCATCATGTTCGTCATGTTCTTCTTCATCCTCTTCATCTTGTTCATCTTGTATTTCCTCATCCTGTTCTTCATTTAGTTCTACTTCATATATTGATTCATCAGCATCATCAAATTCATCGTCAAGATTCAAACTTAAAAAAGATATTTACACAAAGGATAAGAATGAAAAAACATCAAAAGAGAAAAAGCACAATTCAGGGAATGATGTAATTAATACAATTAGCTCACTGAAAAAAGGAATGTTAACTATCCAAAGACTACCTGAAGTAAATGACATTCCATTGAATCCCTACTTCTTTAACGAACAAAACAACTATTTAAGGTTAAATAATAGGAGTAAGGATCAAAACAACAGAATCATGGAAGAGATTAGAAAATTTGAAGGCTGGGAAAATTTAGAAAAAGTATTTACAGATGATAAGGAGTCATCTTTGGTGAATGAAAAGGTTTTTTATTCATTTGAAATATCCTCTATTAATATTGAAACAAAAGAAATCATTATCAGTGATGAAATTGAATTAAAATCTATAGTTCCCAGGATCACATTAAATATCAAAAGTGGATCTGAATCAAACAAAAACACACAAATTTCAAAAGAAACTTTTTCATCTAAAGGATCTAAGCTTAACTGGGGTAGTAATAGTTCAACTGATCAAATTCAAAAAGATTTTGAGAAAATCCAATTCTCCATGCAAATATATCAAACCAATGATAATTGTAATTACTTTTCTTTAACATTCGAAGGAGTTAATTTAAATGAAAAAAATACTTCAAATTGTAGCTTTAAAAAACCCAGTACAATTTTAGGTACTGCATTTTGTCCATTACCAAAAAGGAATGATAAATGGAATATTTCAATTCCAATTTATTCTTGCTTTCCTGATGGGACATTTCTTGATACAAAAGATTCACAGCTAGTTTCAAATATTTATCCAAATATATTCAAAAAACTGGGTAAAATAAACTTCAAGTTATCTAGGAAAGGAACTAAAAGTGAGGCAGAAGATCAATCCAAGGAATCACTTGAATTTAATAAACTTTCTCCAAAAATAGAAAATGAAACTACAAAAGAAATTAGAAATGAAATATTATCATGTTTGTCAAGTATGAATTTAATTGGGAATAATATTAATAAAGAAAAGAATCAAAGCTCGAACATAAAAAAAATTATTGTTACCGGAGAAGTTTCACAAACTATTTTTTCCAAAGATTGCAAACAATTAGGAGAAAGTATCAAAGAGAAAGAATTGGAATTGAGAGAAAGGGAGATTCAATTAAGGGAAAAGGAATTAGAACTACAGATGAAAAGTTTAACTGTTCAAAGCTTAGAACAAAAGGTGGAATTTGGGAATTTGACAAATCTTAATAAAGTACATTTTAAAGGAGAAACAAATAAATTATCCTGTCAACATAATCATCCCAATCATGAGAAACAACTAAATTATTTTAGAGTTAAGGACAAATCAAGGGATGCTTTTAATAGAATTCAACTAGCTAAGAATAAAAAAAGTGGAATTCTCACATTAGGGTTGAAAAGAAATAATGAGAGACCAAGATTAATAATAAAAAAAGAGTATAATCAGAAAGAAAGCTCAAAAGAATATTGTAAGCATAAGAAGAAGAGTAAAAAGAGCAAAGAAAAACACAAAAAAAAGGATAATTTATTAAAGGGAGATTTAAAAGAACAAAATATATATTCTCCAACTCAAATTCCCTTATTAGTTAATAATTTACCATTTACTCCTCAACTATACACAAACAATCTTCCTCAGAATTATGTTTTATGTTATCCTTCTGTTTCAACCATTAACAAGGAGAATAGTTTAGTACAAACACAAACACAAATTCAAGTTCCAGATGTTTCTTTAGAAAGCTTAAAAGTATCAGATAGAAGCACAAATATCGAGGAAGGAACTAATATAATGAATGATTTTAGAGAGATTCAAAGAAAAATAACTCCCAATAATATAGGAATATCAAGAAACCTTACTTCCAGAGGTCTTAAAATGAATATAGATGTACTAGCAAATTCAAAACGATCTCTAGGGAGAAAAACGATTGGGAGCTCAAATAATATAATAAACAAAAGTTCATGGAAAAGTATAAATGAAAGCGAGGAGAGAGATATAGAAGAATTTTTGAAGAGCCAATGGGACATGTTTTCAATAAGTTGTGGGACAATTTTGAATGAATCAGGAGTTTGCAGCAATTCATTTTGCAAGTATAGAGATAATGTCAGGATGGAGTACTCCAAGTGTGAGTATACAAACACAGAGATAGACAACTGGAAGATTTGCCAATATTGTCAAATGGAAATGTTTCCGAGTCTTTATTTCATCAACGTAAAGCGACCAAAATTTGTAGAATTTTTCTTTGACTCATCTATTCCAATTTTTTTCCCCTCAAGACAATTAATTTGGCCAACATCTCTTCATTTTCTATTGGCTCAATTCTTCTCAAACTATTCAGAAGTCAGGGAGTGCAAAACACACGATCAAATCATTAGACTTACTAAGAAAAGACAGAATTCTATTTCTATTGATATTCTTCCTAACCTTGCAATAATTATTTTGGCAATGAAAGTTTTCCAACATTCTGTATTGCAGCAACTATTGCTTTCATTTTCAGAAAACGAGTTTTTTTTACTCAGAGAATATTGGATAAAATATGATCCAATAATAAGGTTAGTTAGTTCAGATTCTAGAGAGGAACTTTCAGATCTTGGAGAGAATCTTATTACAACTCTCGAAGAACTGAGGAATTATATACAAAGAAATAAAAATTAATCATACGGTGTTGTATAACTCATTTTAATATATTCCCCTCAATTGTAATTTTTAGACGTTTCACAAAAAAAACGTGTACTAATACTCCCAGTTCTAATTTCATTCACAAGTCAAACCAAACAATGCCCGCCTAATGGCGGGTCAATAATAAATATATTTTGGTAGATTTACTAAAATTATGTAATAGGACAAAAGGAAAACTTAAAATTTTGGTTAATTAGTGGAGATATTGTAGTAAAAACACTAAATTTTGATTGGATTATTGGATAGTTTTATTTCATGAATAACAATTGAGGCGTCTATTCAAAAGTTTCAAAGTAAAGTTGATAAACTAAATATTCTTGAAAAGCTGGTATTCAGTTAAAGTATAATAATACTTAATATTTTTGACCAAGTGTAGGCGGTGCTGAGACTATATGAATTGCTATTAACATGCTTGGAAGCAATGCTTCGTCAAGTTTGCAATCATTGACTGATAATCCTCAATTTACTGGATTAAGAAATATACGTCAGAGCAAATCAATCTATCCGGAAAGTATATTGATTAGTAGCAATAATATTAATAGTGGCAGTGCAAGTAACAGCTGCTCAAATAGCATTATTAATGGGGTAAATGGTTCTAATAATGGGAATGGGTTGTCTAGCTCCGTTCAAACTTCAAGGATTAAAAACGATGACTTATTTGTTTCACCGGGTTCTGGGAAGCTACTAGATAAATATTGGCGTTCTTCAACAGAATTATGGAATGATCTAGAATGTGGTATTGTATATCCTGATTATTCTTCAAATATAGGAAGGAACTCTCTAACTTCTTCTCAAGTTTCATCTGGACAATATACTCATCCTTTTGGATTATTTTCAGTTTCAATTCATCCAGTATTAACAAGAAAAAATGCTCTTGCGATTTTTTATAGTTTCATACCTTATATTATTGGTCTTGTATTATTTGTTTGGCTCCTTATTGGTGACAGCTTTGTACCTGCATATGCTCTAATAATGATGCTTGCATCCTCAGCTTCGAGCGAATTTTTTCTTAAAAATATTTTCAAGAGCCCGAGACCACCAAATTCTGCTTGTGCATCTTATGGAATGCCTTCTAGCCACTGCGTAACTTCATATTCTATTCTAATATGGCTATTACTAGAAAACATTAATGCTCTTGGTTTTGTTTCTGGTTTCTTATTCAAACTTTCCATTATATTAATTACTGCCCCCGTACCATGGGCCAGATGGTATGTTGAAGATCACACTATTCCACAATGCATATGGGGTTGCATAGTCGGTATTTTTATCGGTATTTTTGCATTTATTATGCGGATACAATTTTTCTACTCTAATTTGGTATTTTAGCTTTATAATCACTAACTATTAGACATTTTTGTGTTGTTTTTTTTTCGTTTAAATGTTCTCTTGTTCTTTTCCTAAATTTGATACTCATTATTTGATTGCACTTGATTCCATTGCTTCTTTTTGGGTACCGCTTCCGGTGTTCAGGGCTGATAGTATAGTGGTACTACGTTTCGTTCGCATCGAAAAGATCACGGGTTCGATTCCCGTTCAGTCCACTTTTTGGATTTTTCATGAAATTTAATAAATTTAAAAAATAATACTTAATTTATATAGGATTTTGTTTCAGTTGAATGTTCAGTTTAAATTAATTTAATCATTTTGTTTTGTTTAAATGTTTCGAACTTAATTTATTGACTTTTTTACTTTACCGGGAATATTGTTTTCTATATTAATTCTACTTAGGTTTTAATTTTAAGAGGGACAATGAATTTTTGTAATACATGTTTACACATGCAACCGAAATATAAAAATATATTATCACATATATTAGTTCAAATCAAAGTCATATATTTTGTAGATGAATTTATGTAATGTCTAAGGATGAGGATGAGCTTGGACAATGCCTATTGGATGAGTTGTTTCAAGGAAATATTGGTTCGAATACAGATGGTGTAAACCAGGAAATTCTTCTTAATGAAGATGATGAAATCAAGAAATTCTTTGAGTCAGATTTATTGAATTCTTCCAAAGTTTTAGAGAACTGTGAAGCTGCTTCAAAAAATCACAATTTATTTTCCAATACTATTTCAAAACCAACTCTAGGTGAATTATTAATTGGTAATAAGAAAACTGATTTAGGAACAGAAGCTCATGCTACATCTAAGATGTTTGAAAGCAAAATTAAGAATAAAAATACTAATAACATTTTAAATAAGATTGAGCAAACTAACGAGGAGTTTCTACAAAATATAATGAGTTTTGTTGGGAGTTCAAGTTTCAAAAGTAATAATAAAGCAGATTTAAAAACAAGAGTTTCTGATAAATCTGATAAATCAATGAATGATAACACTAACTTTCTTCAAAGAGAAATTAGAGGGACAGAAAAATCTCGTAATATATCAGAAATTTATTATACAAATAAAGATCAAGTCCTATTCAATGGTAATAAACTTGAAGATTTTATGGAGAGTGAAACTGATATAATTATTGATCGAGGAATATCAATAAAGTCAAATAGTTTTAATAATACTTTTGGATTTGATAAAGAAATGGGAGAAAAACAATTCAATGAATTTGATGTTCAAAATTTAATTTCATTCAAAATTGATGGGATGGTTTCAAAAAATGAATGTAAGGAAAAAGATAATTTTATGGACTCAAGTAATTGTTTAGACAAAGAAAATTACTTTATTGAGGATAAAAATCTACCATTTTCTAATAATTTTTGTACAAAAAATATTATAGAAAATAAAAGCGATAATATTGAGTTAGTCGATCATTTTCAACAGGAAAAAGAAAGCCAATTTGAATCAGAAAACAACTTTTGTTTTTCACATTCTTTTGGGATTGCTGAAAATGCTTCAATTAATTTGGACAGGTTTACTGCAACTGAAAAGTTAAAAAATAACATAGTTGGAAGGTCCAAGACTGGAACTAATTTACCCATTTCATTTTCCACTGGGAGTGGGAAAAAAGTATCAATAGATGAAGAAAACTTTAACAGAGGTAAGCATATAGTAGGAGGTTCACCTTTAGGAGGATCACCAATTGGAGGTAACTTGCCCATTTCATTTTCCGCTGGGAGCGGAAAAAAGGTATCAATCACTGAAGAGAGCTTGAGTAGGGCTAAGCAAATAGTAGGAGGTTCACCTTTAGGAGGATCACTAATTGGAAGTAGCATGCCCATTTCATTTTCCACTGGTAGTGGAAAAAAGGTATCAATCACTGAAGAGAGCTTGAATAGAGCTAAGCAAATAGTAGGAGGATCACCAATTGGAGGTAACTTTCCCATTTCATTTTCCACTGGGAGCGGAAAACAGGTATCGATAGATGAGGAGAGCTTGAGTAGGGCTAAGCAAATAGTAGGAGGTTCTCCTTCAGGAGGATCACCAATTGGTCGTAACATGCCTATTTCGTTTTCCACAGCCAGTGGAAAAAGTGTATCGATAGATGAGGAAAGTTTAAATAGAGCCAAGAAACTAGTAGGAGGGTCCCCTACAGGAGGATCACCAATTGGAGGTAACATGTCCATTTCATTTTCCACTGGGAGCGGAAAAAAGGTATCAATCACTGAAGAGAGCTTGAGTAGGGCTAAGCAAATAGTAGGAGGTTCTCCTTCAGGAGGATCACCAATTGGTCGTAACATTCCTATTTCGTTTTCCACAGCCAGTGGAAAAAGCGTATCGATAGATGAGGAAAGTTTAAATAGAGCCAAGAAACTAGTAGGAGGGTCCCCTTCAGGAGGATCACCAATTGGAGGTAACATGTCCATTTCATTTTCCACTGGTAGTGGAAAAAAGGTATCGATAGATGAGGAAAGCCTAAACAAAGCAAAGAAACTGGTAGGAGGGTTTGAAAGTGAAATAGAAAATGCTAGTATAACTTCAGTCAAAGAAACGATAAAACAATCATTAAAGGATGATGCAAAATTAGGAATCGGATGCAATGTTTTGGGAAAAACAAAAAGTAATATGTATCCCAATTTATTACAAAGAAATAATTATGAAAATACTTTAAATAAAAAGAATAGAAAGCTAACTAGGGAAGAATTAGTTATACCCAAGTTTTTCAAAAGATATGATAGTATTCAATACTCATTAGCATGTTTAAAATCGAGAAAGGTAATTCCACCAACATTAATTTTGATTGATCATTCGTTAGAAACTTTGAAGAAGTACACTTTTCTCTTAAAAGATACTAAAGAAACAGATGATTCTAAAGGAAAGTATATTGAAGTAGATTTTAGGATGATTTGTGACGAGATTGAGAATTTCTTTATTCAATTCCCAATATTTCCAAGTAATATGTCTCGGTACAGACAGAGGTGGCTCGAAGTTCAGTATATGCTAATTCTATATGAAGAATGTTTAAACTGGTCAAGGAAAATTAAAACTACTATTAAAGCATTTATTAAAGAATTTAATGGATTTAATTCAATTGACAAGACTAGAGAATTACTTTTTTCAAATTTAGCACAAATAAAGTATCCTTCAATACAAAGAATTCTTAGAAGAATTTGCAAAAGAGCAATCATTGAATTTTTTGATGCAAAGAGATCTTCTCTAATAAAAATATGCGAGGGAGATTTCACTGTATCTGCACCTTTAAATTTAAGAATATTAAGTTATACTGACAAAGTCGGATTAGATGAATTTAATGATTCCAATACAAATAGAATCATGTTATGTACAGATGGATGGTATATAGTAAAGATACTCACAAACATTACTTTAATTAAATCTTTGATTCAGAATATGCCTAGAAATATTTTTTTGTGTGGTGGTAACTGGTTAAATTCTAATATAGAACATGGACATCCATTGGAAATAGAAGCTTCAACTCAGGATTTTCCATTAATGATTTATGGAATCAATTTGGTTAGACCGATAAGAAAATTATCTGGATTTAAACTTGGATTCCATTTAAAACCACTTCTTTTTAGGATTTCAAAACTTTTAAATAGCTCAGAAATCTCCATTATTTCAAGGGAACCAAATGATAACGAGAAAAGGCATAGTAGCATGGATAAAGGAGGAGGTTTATCTTTTTTGGTCCAGGTAATAGTTATTCACATATTTCCAATTTGCTATAAAGAGATGATAGAAACTTTACAAGATGATAATAAAAGAATTTTTATTACAAGAGACCAAAATGAAATGGATATTTCAATAAATAATGAAATCTATGAAATGTATGAAAAAAGTTTACAACAGCCAGAATCAGATTCACAAGATTCTCCTATTGAAAATACTAAGAGAAGGAAAATATCTTTAGAATCAAAACTACTTGTTTTAGATTACTGGAAGTTTATGAATCTTAAGGAAAGAAATCAACAAAAAATAGATATGTTTGAATTAATTAATAACTGCTCTATATTAACTCTTCCTTCAGGTATGGATATTGACGAAATTACGAGCATTAAACCAGGGACTGTAATTCGACTTTCTTGGATGAAAGTTATTAAAAATAGTACAATAAGAAGCCTAGGATGTTCATTCTCCAAATTAGTTCCATCTCCAAAAACTTCTTTAACTGCAAAGAAAAGAGTTAATGATGATATTATCCTTACTAGAGTAATTGATTTTGTAAAAAGGCCAGTTTTAACATTTGAAAATGACCCAGAGAATATCATTAACTGTAAGGGAGGGTGGCCAATACGTATTTTGGGACTTATTCTTCAGGTATATCAAATTGAAGAGAGAAAAAGAGGATTTGAACACTGTTTTGAATTCAAAGTACTTTTACTCACTTCTATGGGATCAAAGGTATTTGTTAGAGTGCATTCTATGGGATCTCACGATTCAGATTTAAGAATGTGTGAGAGGGTTAACAATAAATTAAAGAGAGCATTCATAAATTCTGGAGAGCTCGACTATAGGGATTTCATCATCCTTATTGAAAATACTGAATTTCATTCATTTGAAAGATCTACAAATCTATACTACTTCAATGCAAAAGTACCTTATTCAATTTTCACAACTCCATACACTTTGGGAGAAAAGCATTTTTCTAGCAATTCCACCAGAAGAATGCTTTCAAAAGTGATAATGGATCTCAGTTTTCATACTAAATGTAATATTCCCAAACTATTTGATAACCATATTCTGGATGAGAATTCCCCTCAACTACCTATTTGCACTAACTGCGAAAACAAGCTTTCAGAGTGCAAATGCATAACTGAAGAATTAATAATGCTTTAAGAAAGATACTTTTTTAGAACTTTTCTGTTACAACTTGTTTATTTCTTTTCATTTTTTCTTTCCAAACTTAACCACAATGATTTTTGTTTGCATGCGTATTGTCTTTATACCGGTATTAATGGTACTAGTATAAAACATGTTAATGAAACAAATAAAAAAAAAAAAAAGAAATCAATTGATATAAAGAATGAGTCTTGAGTATCAAATAGTAGGGAAAATTGAAAATTAAGAATTTATTTATTTGACAGTTTTTTGGGTAAGTCGATCAACTTAAGTGGGAAGAACTGCATGTTCATCTATTGGCATTAGCTCGAACCCAAACTTCACTTGGAAGCGAATAATTACTAAGAAAGCAA